CATAAAAACAGTTACCGTTACTACGTGGTGCGTTACTCCGTATTTTTTTATATAGTCTCGGCTCCCAGACGTTGGTCTGCGGCGCCAACAGCGAGGCGAACAGAGATGAGAACTGTACTTAAGTACTTGAGTAAATGTACTTACCGTAATTTTCGGACTATAAGCCGCACCTGAATATAAGCCGCAGCAGCGACATACCACTCTCGGTTCCACTTTTACTTTTGCGCGCTACCTGTCTCACTCTTTTCCGGCCTCCAGCTTTTCCTGCTGGAACCCGCCGCTTAAAGGTGGGGGTCCGCGGACCGGCCATAGAGCCCATAGAGTTAAAGGTGTTGGCCGTTAGCTGTAAAAATCCATAGATTAGCCGCACCGTTATATAAGCCGCAGCGTCGAAAAATAGGGAAAAAGGCGCGGCTTATAGTCCGAAAATTACGGTAGATACTTCCTGTGTCACATGGCTGCGGAGCTCAAGTCGAGTTTCTCCGCCTGGAGATATTCTCACTATTTCACTTTTGTCGAGCACAAAGAAAAGAACGTTTTAGTTAAATGTAAGTTGTGTCTTGGCGGGTGAAAGATCCTATCTATTGCCCAAAACAGCAATTCAAATCTGTTGAAACATCTGCAGAAACAACATGCTGGGACTAAGCTAGTAGCTAAGACCACAGACCCAGACTCATCCAACGCCACTCCACCTCCACCTAAGCAACAGCGGCTGGATTTTAACCGAGGGACTGCTAGCCAGGGAAAAGTTGATAAAGCCATTGCACGGTATGTTGTAGAACACATGCAGGCTATTTATACTATTTCTATTGCTATTTCTTGATCAACAGATTGTATTATTCTCCAATGCAATAACAGTACTGAAATGAAGGCTATAAGGGCATTAATGGGAGCCCTTTTTTTAAGTAACTAATGCGTTACTGTTCACAGTAACGCATTACTTTTTGGCGTAAGTAATCAGTAAAGTAACTGCGTTACTTTTGAAATGAAGTAACTAGTAATAGTAACTAGTTACTGGTTTTCAGTAACTAACACCACACTGGTCATCATCAACACCTATAACTTTCGAGGGGTGGAGGTATGCCCATTATTTTTTATTTGTAAGAAGAAAGGACAGGAATATGACGGTAAGGTGAACTGCTGCAAACACAACATAAAACCTCTCCAAGCACCTGCAAAGCCAACATGCTAACACGAAGCTAGTAGCTAAAGATCCCCGAACCCAGAGTTATGATGTTGAGTGTGTGTGCCGACTCCAAACAAGCAGCAAAAACTACAATTTTCACCGTTAATAACTTGTGTTATGTCTTCCTTATTGCAATAGTAATTATTATGTGTGCACATGTAGGCCTAAGTTTTGGCTATAGACTGTTGCTGAGTAACACAAAAGTAATGTAAAGAGTAATGTAACGAGTTACTTTATGTATAGAGTAAAGTAATATATTACTTTTTTTTTAAAGTAATGTGTAATCCATAACCTTTTTTGAGTAACGACCCCATCACTGGTCACGGTCCTATCCGCAGGTGAAAGACAGTCCTGTCAGATGCCTAGGCAACATTCTCAGGTTTGGATGTTACCTAAAAACAAAATGTATGACAACAATACAACTTATTTTGCATTGTTCGAAATTAAACCAAGGTTTCTCAATATTATAGTGGTACAAAACATTGCCATAATGTCCTGTACACAAAAAGGATCCAATATTTTCTAAATGCACGATTCAACTGAACTTTAACTTTTTAAAAGTAAGCCCCTTGATTGGATAATGATATTAATTTATATTTTTATTATACTGACAATAAATATTGTCCACTTACAATTTCCAATGGGAGCAATTCTCTCTTGGGTATTTGTCATATTTACCACACAGAGTAATTATAGAGGCTTCTTCCCTTTTGAATCTGAGCTTTTGTAAAAATAAAGAATTTGTCTTTGCGTCAAAAGCCTGTGTTTGGTCGACGGGCACTAATTATTGTTTTATTATTGTAACTGTTTATCTAATGCATAAAAACATTTAAACCTACTTCAACACGGACACATAATCATGCAATATCAGTTTACAATCTTCATAAAGTCTTTATCAGTTTATAATCTTCATGAAGTCTTATAATTGTCTGAAATGTATACAAACATGCTCCCATATAACAGGCGGTATGACAATTATTTATTGAACTTTTTTTTCTTTTTACAGTGTTGGTACTTTAACTTAAGATATCTACTAGAGTATTTCTCCCACCACTGCTTAGAATGTGCATTATTTCTGTTGATTCATCGTATGACTAAACCTACAAAAACCCCTTCTTCTGCATTTCATCCAACGATCAAAGTGAGAGTAATTACAGCCTAATTTCTAATAAAAATACATTTAAAATCACTTGACATTTTTTTCACAATATTTATTGAGCAAATTGCTAACTTCATTGCAAAGATAAATACAAAATCATTAAAATCATCAGTATGGATCAGCAATTTCATTACATCAGCATGTTTTTCATCAAACCATAACCATATCCTAAAGTGTATATTTCAAAATCAGTAAAGTGAGTGATAGATTTAAACCCATTAACCATTGATTGAAAGAAAGGCTGAGCCATCTAGATTAATAGACCTCAGCAGAAAGCTATAGCTACTGTTAAACAGCAGATCTGTTGAATCATAAGAAGCCGGGGGGTTGAAGTATCTCGAGGCCGACCTTTTCTTTTCGTTGCTGGTGAGGAAAAAAAAACGATGAGATTCAGATAAATAATATTTCAACCACTTTTTTCTTGTTCTGCTGTGACAGCTTTATTAGTAGTTTAATGTATCCGCTGTGTTAAAGTTTCCCGCAGTTTTGGAGAGTATAGCATTATTTCCCACTTACATTAACATTGGTAAAGCTTGTTGACACGGGCAATGTCATTCTTGCTCATCGTACGAGCAGTCCCAAAGTTAAGACTCGGATTTCTCTTAGCGAGGATGGTTGGTTCCCTGTTTTTGCTGAAGGCGTATCTTGAGGATCAAAAGAAGACAAAAAGTTTGGCAAACAGTCCTGCACACACACATCACAAGCACACAGACACTTGTTTCTGACTCACAAATGATGTTGTAATGTCGAGTCGTTTGTGAGCTGTTTTAGGCAACCTAATACAGGGTTCTACAGCACTAGGCAAGTTAGATTTAAGAATTAAAACTGATTTAATTAAATATTGGATGGAATTTAACTTCACAATACCCTAACTTGAAATACAAATGTATCAATGATCATTAAATGTTGTCATTTTGAATGCAGGACTTTTACATGTAAAATAATATTTTTACAACTTCGAACATCTGAGTACTTTTCCCTTGACTGACATCACATTTGAACATACATACATACACGCACTCACACAAACACTCACTTTCCGTAGTGCATGACAGAGTCGAAGTCGTAGGGAGTACCCAAGTTGTTAGTTTTCCGCTTCATAAAGTTATGTGTTTGTCCTGCAGAGAGAGAACAAGAGAGCATTTATATTTGAGAACAGCGGTAACATTTTTGCATTTTCATAAACAATGAATTGAAAATGTGCAAACAAAACTTGCTTAAAAGCAGGCTGGTAGACTTAAAAGCCAACCCCTTTATTGTATTAATAACCCTTTTATTGTATTAGTAACTATTGGATGGATTTAATACAGACATTCTATTCATGATGCCCACAGGAGGTTTCCCAATATATTAGGTGTTTCCTAACATCTAAAAGATGGATTGGCACAAAATTCCCAGATAATATATTGTAATTATTTCAATGTAGTGCCATCATCAGATAACAATTCAAATGTGTCCAATACTTATCTCTGCAGAGCTAACACCTTCCCCAGCCTCAGATTTCCTTTGTGTTGACTTGTAATTATTAGATGTTAGCATTCTAAAACACTAAACACAAGAAAGGGCCTTTTTCAAGTGGGATGGAGGATGTACAAACTGGGAAATGGGAAAGACCCTCCAGAGCTGCTATCATGGCAATGACTTTGATCTTGGTGGATTTTCAGTCAAGAGGCATACACTTTATACTCACCTCTCTGTAGATCTCATCTTTTTTATACAACACACACATACAGTACAGGACTGTGAATAAGAGCGTTTGTGTGTGAGTTGACCTGGCTTAATGTTCTGGTAGAGGATGGAGACGTAGCTGTCTCTGTCGGAGCGGACTTGCTCGTGGTGGAAGCCCAGAGCGTGGAGAACCTCGTGCTGCACTGTGTCTGTGTACAAACAACCATTTTTCTGCAGGGAGACAAGCTGTCCTCTACTCTGTCGGCCCAGGTAGGACCAACACCTGACACACACACACACACACACCCACACGCACACACACACACACACACACACACACACACACACACACACACACACACACACACACACACACACACACACACACACACACACACACACACACACACACACACACACACACACACACACACACACACACACACACACACACACACACACACACACACACACACACACACACACACACACACACATAAACTCATTTACTCAAGTACTGTACTCAAACAAAAGGTACTCGTAATTCTCTCACTATGTGTGTTCTTACCCAGATCCAGAGTAGAAGTAGAGGTAATTGCGTTGTCTCCTCCTCCAGACAAAGCGACTGCAGGTGGATGCGTGGAAGGTCAGCAGGGCTCGGATCATGAAGTTGCGCTCTGTTTTGGCTGCAGAAACAAAGAACAGGGTGCTGAGCAGTGTTCTCACCAAACCTGGTCTGCCTTCCAGCATAACATCTCACATTTAGATTACATTTTAGGGCTCAAAA